TAGATTATTCTTATTATTAATTATATTCAGAAGTTTATAAAGATAAAGATTTACTTCTTATCAAAGATTTTTAATAGAATTTAGATCAGATAATTGTGATAATCAGCTTAAGATAGTTACATTATTATTAGTAAATTATTTTATTATTTTATCTATAATATATTTAAGATCATTATTCTATTGAAAAATAATATTATTTAGTCTTAAATTATATAAATCTAGCAAGAAAAATAATTTATTTAAAAGAATTTGCTAGTAATATGTATTATCTATTATTTTAATAATCTTACAAAGATAACTAGTATGCTAAATACCAAAAAATTCTTATATTATTATATTACTATCATTAAACTTCATTATAATTTAATATAGAAGCTTTTTAATAAGTTATTTGATCTTTTTTAATAATACTGATATCTATTAGATTTGAATATTTGAAATTTTAATTCATCAGATCATATAACTTTATACTAATCATCAAGTTTTCAGTTCTTATATTTATTTGTAAAATCAAGTTATTTTTGATGATATAAATCTGATAGATATAGCTTTTTCTGCTTTACTTATATTATCAAATCACTATTATATAATTCTTTATATATTATACTTATATTTATATTAATTTCTTCATTAGTTAGTAGAGATTTTTTAAGTTAGATCATATTAAAACATTTATTTGTTATAATTCAATAAACAAGAATTCATTTATCACATATAGTAAGTTTTGAAAATGATCAGCTTGAGACTTATTTTGGATATTATTAGTTTTCTTGACTTTTTTTTAAGTCTTAATATAGTAGAATGATAAATATTAAAGTGATGGGCATTTCATATATACTATAATCTTTATCAAGCAATATAATTACTTGAGTGTGTTTTTCCAATATAAGTTATATTATTTACTTAGAAAAGTTTAAAAAATATATATAAATTAAATAGTTAGTTTTAAGGAATTTTTTTTATTATTGTAATTTTTTTTATTTTATATTAAAAAATAAAGTTTTTCTTAATTTTCTCTACTCATATTAAAAAATGACAAAAAAATATATCAGTATTTTAAAGAATTAAAAGAACTGTATTAGATGCTAATTGCAAATCTTTTTTATATTCATTGGATTGCATGTGAGTGAGAATTAGATGATTAATGATTAATAATGTAAGTAGTATATTATTTTTGTAAGTTCTTGAATCAAAGTCAGATCTGGTATTGATAATTCTTGAACTGGATTAGACCAGATAGATCAATTAACATCTCTATTCTTATGTAATATAATGTATAATATAAAATATAATGTAGTGACTCTGTTGTAAAATATTAAATTCTTTTCTTTCTTCTTCCCATCCCAGTTAAGTAAAATAATATTTTGCAAATACATAAATCCAATTGCATTAGTCAAATAAATAAATTATAGTTATGTGATCTAATATTAATCTGAATTTAAATTAAGGATATAATTAATCTGGATTTCAATATAATTTACTAACTGGCTTTAGTGATTCTCCAAAAATGGTTGCAATATTCTTTTTAATAAAAATATAAGGAAAATTAAGAAATTAATGTTCTTATAATAATAATACTTATCAATTTTATTATATATATACATGTATATATATTAAATAATTTAATAAATAATAAAATTAAAATTTTCTTTACAATTATAAAGATAATTAATTAATATAAATAATTATTAATCTTTAATTATATATTTGAATACTTATCAATTAAAAAAATAATTATTCAGTTGGCAATACAACTAAATAATTATTAATTACTGATTGATAATATTATTTATGATTTAGAACAAGAAATTGCTAAAGCTTTTGAGAAATAATTCTATCTTGGCTTCATTTACCATTAGTCATTTATCATCTTGGTAATAATAATACTAAATCTTTTACTTCTAATTTTATCTCATGTTGTTTAATGAAACTTGACTTAAATTGTTAATAAATTTGGAATTATAATTTGTTAAAGAACTTAAAGATAATTTAAAAACTAAAATAATCAAAATCTTTGGCTTGCATGAGTTACTATTAGAAAATGATAGTTTTTTTTAAAGAATTCAAACAATTCTGTTAATGATAAATGATTTTCTGGATTTATATAATCTATTTTATAATGATTCATCAATAGCAAGTAAAGAATTTTTTTAATAAATTGGATTTTAAAAACTCACTTCAATATTATTATTACTATTATACACTACTGACTATAGTACCCAGGGTACTATTTTAAAAATTACTTAATTTATTAAATAGTATCTATCCTAGGTATTATTTATAGAAAGGGATATATAAGAATGGAGATATTTTATAATGGGGATATTATAATAGAGGAATCTTAATTATAATATAATATGTTAAAATTACTTTTATAGAAACAAAAAATATATAAAAAAATTATATATATATTATTTAATGATTTTTTCTTTTGTAACAAAATGGTATATGGAAATAAAAATACTGGTCATGCTCAAATGACTGAAAAAAAGAGATGGCAATGAAATGTATGTGAAAAACTTATCATAGTTACATATCTTGAAAAATATTCAAGTCAAAGTATCCATATAATAGCTACTACTTTTAATATTGAGCCAAAACAAGTAAGAGATTGGCATAATAAAAAAGAAGAGTTAATGCGAATTTTACCTCATATTAAATAAATAAATAAAGAAAAATTACCAAAATATCCTGAGTTAGAAGAAAATATTTATAATTGGATAAAGAATTTGTGATATGAACAAAAATTTGTAACTTAATCTATGATCTAAATTAAAGCAAAAATACTATCAAAAAAATCACTGTATAATATTCTTTATCCTGATATTATTGAAAGCAAATTTTTAGCAAAATAGATTGATGGTTTTATGACTCAACACAAATTAAGTAATCGTTATCAAACTATAATAGCTCAAAAACTTCCAGAGTAAAGATGACTCCTCAACTGTTACAACATGGTGATAAATAAAGTATTACCTAGTTGCAACTGCAACTAGTTGTGACTTATAAAATTTTTGGAGTTACAATGTGTTGCAACAGGTAACAAATAAGCGTTACATATTTATTGTATCATCTTTATTCTAGAGGATTTACAATTATCACAACAAGAATTTTTAAGCTTCATTCTATATCACTGAATTCAATACAATTATTCTTTAACTCTAATAGGCAATATAGATGAAATTCCTTTATCATTTGATCTTCCTAATAATATAACAATTGATAATTGTGGTATAAGTACTATTTCAATCTGAATATCCGGTCATGAAAAATCAAATTTCACAGTCATACTTGCTTGTTTAGCAAATGGAACAAAATTACCACTAGTTATTATTTTTAAATTAGTTAATATTCCATGACAAACTTTTCCTACAGGAGTATTTATTTGTGCAAACCCTAGTGGATGGATGAATGAAAGTGAAATGCTATGGTGGATAGAAAATATATGGAATTTATGATTAAGAACATCAGTAAATCCACGTTCTCTTTTAGTTTTGGATTCTTTTTCAGCACATATTATGAATCCAGTAAAGCAACGGTTTTTTGAAAAAAATATAAATTTGGCTATAATTCCTGGAGGATTGACTTTGAAATTGCAACCATTAGATGTTGCAATTAATAAATCCTTTAAATCAAAGGTAAAATTTTTTGTATATATTAAGACTAATTTATTATATTTAAAAAAAATAATAACGATAATTTTTATTAACAGATGCGACATTATTATAATGAATGGATGGCCAGTAGAGTTCAAACTTATACCAAAACAGGCTGTATTCAACGTCCTGCATATAATCTTATTGTACAATGGGTACTTGATGCATGGAATAATGTTAACCCTATCTTAATTTGCAAGTCTTTTAAATGTTACGGCATTTCCAATACACGAGATGGCAAAGAAGATCATTTGATTTTTGATTACGATCAACTCGGCCCACGAACAAATATGCGCAATAACATATATATACAAGAGGAATCTAATGCTGATATTGGTATTGTAAGTCCTAATACTGCAAGTTCTAGTACTACCAAAAAAGATAATCCTGACAATTTAAACATCAATGAATTCGTTAATTTTTGATTTGACAGAAGTTGATCTGACAGAAGAAGCTGATCTTGTTAGTGAAGATGAGGATTATTATAATGTAGAAGAAATTAATTATGTCAACGAATGGAATTAGCATAGCGATATTGAAATCAAAATATATGTTTCTCAGATAGTATACATGTACATAGATGTTATAACAATAATAAAGTTCTCTAATGCTAAAAATGGGAACCATTGAGGTCCGGAGTATAGTTTAAAAATAATTAAAGCGATTATATGATAGATAAAAATAAACCTTTATTACAATATAATAACATAATACATATAATATAGAGGCTATCTATATATCTGTGCCTTAATTCTCCTTAGGCCGTTTGTTTACACTCCTAGGAATTATAAAAAAATTTTGAGAAGGATGGTTAAAAAAAGTAATAAAAAATCAACAATTTATTTAAATTACCTTAACATAATATCACTAACGACGAAACTGACAATTCTTGCGGGGATCTGGAAAATTTTCTCTTTTACAGGTTTGGAGTAATGATCGCTAGTCCTTAAATGGGAGTAAATTTCCTTTATAAATTGTTGAGGTGAGTTTTTCCATTTCACCGGTAGGCATTCAAACGTTATTAAAGTTTTCTTCCGGTACGATATATAGGATCTTATCGAGGCTCTTGTATGAATTCTCAATATCTTTACGACATTTGGATTTCACCATCAAAACCCTCTATGAATCAAAGCTTCCTGTTGACGAATCATTATATAAAACCTAATTTAAAGAATTCGTCAATACAGATAAATAATTGAAGAAGTCAAGCTTTCTCCGGGGTCTCCAAATTCGGTAACAATTAAGACAACATTCGTCGTTTAATAAGGCTATATTTCCTCCGCCCTGGCTGTCCACCCCTATCCCGAAATCAAAGATACTCACCTAAAATCGTACATCTAAGAAATGGTTCCAAAGCGATCACAAAAACTGCGACTGGTAATCAACCTTGCTTTCAACCCTATGTCAAGCATTTTCAAAATCGCTTCTCTTGCGAAATGACCATACGATCACTGTCACAAAGCTTGGAGTTTTTTGCTTTCGAGGGGCAACTCCATTACTTCAAATGTCTCACTTTTTGCTTATTCGTAAGTCCAAGAATCTTCACGAAAGTGCTGAGACTGATAAAGTTAGTACGGTCAATCTGGTGGTTTACCTGGGTTGTAACACCTTCCCGCCCATAAAAAATAAAATAATAGCATACGTATACGTACGTACTCTAGTACCGTAGGGGTAATAAGTGCGATTGTAAAAAGAGTTGCAAAAAATGCAGGTTTGACAAGTCGGAGCCTACGCATTGTATAATAGTTTGCGAGGCGCAGATCTAGATAGTAAATTATATAATACCCGGGTACTTTTCAATTTTCCAAAAACCATAACCCATGAATTGTATCCGGGTCTTTTTCATGGGGGGTATTGTAGCTAGGGGGTACTGTGGTCAGTGGCGTACGGTAAACTTCATGTAAAAATTGATAATAATTTGTCATTAACGTTAACGTTAATACGACATGTTAATATTTAAATAAATTAGGAAATGATATGGATTATCATTTATACGTGTATAAAAAAGAATATGATACCCACATATAGCTTTTACACTGAACATCCAACTGTATCATATGAGTTACTTAATTTTGGCACAGAACGTTCACCTTCATGCCAGTAATATAGTAATAGTCTTTTTTCTTTTGTTCGAAAGCAGACTGTTCCATCTCTGAAGATGGACAATGCAAAAAGGCGCGAATTAATTCTTCATTAAGAAATAGCGAAAAAGTTCTTCACATGAATTATATTTTAGATTGGTCACAAAATGATTGACTTGTGCTATCTATTTGTCAATCATCAAGTTTTTTTGTCACTGTGTATACATGTACATTGTAGGCATCTAAATAAGATTTCTTGATTTCTTTTTAAATTCATTCATATCGATATCTACATGTATTATAGAAATTACTATTGTTAGGATTAATGTTGCATTAAGCTCATTTTAAGGAGTTTCCTTGGACATGCTAGACACAGTTTTATGTTCGGAATTTTAACAGATGAAGTGAATAAGAATATTAAATGCGAGGGTTTTAATATATAATAAGCGAAACTTTAAGTGTATTGCTAATGTTTCCTAAGATATGTATTTCTGCTTTCACTTTGTGGTATGGATCTAAAACAAAGTTAGCATACAAGCCGAGTCGAACATCTCGGAATTGCGCATCTCAGATCTATGATCACAAAATGAAATCCACACATGTTGTAGGCATATAACTACATGTAAATAAGCTTTCTTTTAATACGTGTATTCACAAACAGCAAAAACCGCATACATTGTACCTGCAATAAAAGTTGCACATAGAATTTCCCACATGCATGTACACACATTTATAAAAAGACAACGATTAATCTCTCGTTTTGTTTTCTATTAACTCAACCAATTCACGCATTTTATCCACCGAGAATGGAATCAAATACTCAACATTGCAACAAATGCACTCGTTGTCAAGGGAATAGATACTGCGATGAGTGTTTAGTTCACAATACTCATGATTGTAGTAAATGTACTAAATGTCAAGGAAATTATGAGTGCGATGACTGTTTCAAATATCACAAACGAATTTATAACGATGAAATGTCTAGCGGTGATAAAGATATCGACAACCTAATAAAAGAATGCAACAAAAATTATTACGAAATGGAAGATATATTCGAATGGATTCCTTTTGAAAGATTTACCAACGTTGAATATCTTGCAAAAGAAGGTTTTGGGACTGTTTGTAAAGCAACTTGGTTGGATGGATTATTCTATTATCCTGCACAATGGGATCATGAAAAAAATAAATTTAAACGAGACGGAAAACGTCGAGTTGTGCTGAAACCATTACACAATTTAAAACAAATTGCTCCAGAGTTTACATCCATATACCGATACAAGGTAATAAACAACATTTTCTAAGCAAGTTTGCTTTGTTTCTAATACAATCAAGTTTTTCAAAAATAGATAGAGAAACGTTTTCTTGTATATTATGGAATAACTAAAAGCCCCGTTACAAATGAATATTTGATAGTGAGGATTCCCGCAGAATATGATTACCATGAATACTTTTACAACTACGACAACTTGGGTTCAAGTTACATATTACGTTATTTACGGGAAATAACCGTTGTTCTGAAAAAAATCCACGAGGAGAAATTTGCACTTCGTAACTTACATCCTGGAAATATATTATTCATAGATCACACTCTTTATATTGATGATTTTGGATTTAGCATTCCAACAAATATAGAAAAAGCTACGCAAGAAATTTATGGAGTACTTCCATATATGAGTCCAGAGGTACTAAGTGGAAAGCCATACACTACTGCTGCAGATGTTTATAGCTTTGGAATGGTTATATACGATTTCGTAACAGGCAAACGACCATTTGGTGAGCGAAGTCATGATATACATCTCGTATTAGACATTTATAAAGGAGTACGACCTGCGATACCAAATAGTGTTCCCGGATGGTGCAGATTTATTATTGAAAAATGTTGGGATCCTATTCCAGAAAACAGACCAACTGCTGGGGAACTGGGAGACTTTATCTGGTCTATCCTTAATGGCAAGGTTGATAATAATTATGATGACGAAGATGATGACGTTTACAAGTGGGAAATGAATAGTTTGCATTTTCAGTACTACAATTCTTTAGAATATCCTAAAACAGTAAAAGAAATCGAAGAGTGTGTTAACCTAGAAAGTGCAAAATTATATGAGTGGAAAATGCAAGAAGAGATTAATGAAAATGCAAAACAGCAAATCCACTCAAATGCAATTTACACTAGTCGAATATTTACTTTAAAATTATTTTCAATTCCAACTGATACAGGTACGCACATTTATTTAAATGACATTTCTGGCTGATTTGATTATCTAATGCATGTATTTTAGGTTCTACAAGTGTTAGTTTGTATGTTCCGAATGAAGGTAAATTCATATTACTGTATATTATACAATATTGATATTGATATATTAAAAAAAAAAGATGGTTGTTTCCACAGAATTTGATATAGTCATCGATAACAAGTCAACAAACGTCAGTTTATCTGTATCAAATGCAGGTAAAATTATTAAATATATCTGGATTATATATTTCGAAGATATAAAATTGATATTAAAAAATTGATTAATTAAATGTGATATAGACAACGCCAAATCAACAAGCGCTAGTTTGAAAGAAAAACTACAAATTCATGATTGCAGTAAATGCGCTCGTTGTCAAGAAAACGATCGTTGCGATGAATGTTTTGATTATCGCTATCAACTTTATAAAGCTGAATTATCTAGCGAAAATAAGGATATCGACAGTCTAATAAATGAATGCATGATAATTAGAAGTCATTTCCAATGGATCCCTTTTGAAAAATTTACAGATGTTGAATTTCTTGTAAAAGGCATTTATAAAGCAACACTATACCGTCACAAATGGAATCATGAAGAAAATAAATTTGAACGATCTAATGAGGATAACGATAAACGCGAAGTTGTGTTGAAATCACGTGATTTAAAACAAATTACAAATGAGGTAGAAATTGTACAATTTTTAATGTGCTTGAACGTATACTTTTTATTTTCTAATACAATTAAGTTATTCAACAATAGGTTCGGACTGTTCTAAAGTACAGTGATGGTTACTTTAAAATAAATTATTATGGTATAACTAAAAACCCAACTACAAATGAATACTTGATAATAATGGATTATCCAAGAGAATGCTATTACAATCTTCACAAATATATTAATTCCAACTACGAAGAATTGACTTGGAAAGCAAAATTAAAATATTTACTTTACATTATCAATACTCTAAAAGAAATTTACGAAAAGAAACTTGTGAACAGTAACTTTCACCCTGTAAACATATTATTACATAATGACGCCTTTATTGCCGATTTTGGACTTACCGACCCAGCAGACATAAAGATTCAAGAAATTTACGGAATACTACCTTATATGAGCACAGAGGTGCTAAATGGAAAGCCATATACTAACGCTGCAGATATTTATAGCTTTGGGATGGTTATGTACGAGATTGTAACTGGCGAGCGACCATTTGCTGAACGAAGTTATGGTAGAGATCTCGTATTAGACATCTATAAAGGAGTACGACCTACGATACCAAATAGTGTTCCCGGATGGTGCAGATTTATTATTGAAAAATGTTGGGATCCTATTCCAGAAAACAGACCAACTGCTGGGGAACTGGGAGACTTTATCTGGTCTATCCTTAATGGCAAAATTTATGGCGACGACGATGAGAAATTGAATCCAATGCTTGTTCAGTGCTACAGTTCTTTAGAATACCCTAAAACAAATAAAGAAATTAAAGAGCATCTTAAACTTGAGAGACAGAAATTGAAAGAACTTGACGAGGAGTTGAAATTAAACAAAAGTATTCCTACAAATATAAACAAAAGACAACAAATTCGCACCAATTCAATATACACCAGTCGTATCTTTACTTTAAAGTTAATATCAATTCCAGATGATACAGGTGCGCACATTTATATTTTTTTTATTTCAATTATATGACATTTCAGATTGATCTAAATATATTAAATATTTTTAGATTCAAGTGTTAATTTATATGTTCCAAATGAAGGTAAAAATTACTATTTCCTATATATTATTTTTTGTTAAAAAAACATTTGCTTGTATGTAACTCTAGAATATGTAACTAATGAATATGACATAAATACACATGTTCAAATGAAGGTAAAGATTATTAATTTATTCTAATTATATTTTAAACGAATAATAAACATCCTATTGACAATGTGTCAGAAGAATCCAATAAACAGGGAAGAATTTCATTTTCGTTGAATCAAGACGATATCAATCAACAAGGTATGTAATCGCATGCTATTTTTATTAAAGGATTTGTTTGCAGAATATTTAATCAAATCTATCATTACATCGATTATATATATAATTGTCGATATAGAAATAATCGTAAAGACGGTGTCAATAAGATCCAAGAAAGAAATATATAATAAAAAAATTGCTGTTGGCGAGCACACAACCTTTGCATCATTAATTTCTTTTATCAGCAATAAAGCAATACCACCGGTGGGAAAACGATTTATGATTCAATCCATAGATGAAGCTGTCGAATATATGCCTGAAGATTTGGTAAAAGTGGTAATAACAGGAGTGGAACATGCTGATCTTCTTATCACGTTAGGGGATGTTAGCCCTTT